AACATAAGCTTTGCGACAGTTGGCACATGTCGCACAAGGGAACTGGCCCAATTTTCTTACCTCAAGGGAACTAACTCTCTAAGAATTAGTCATCAGACCATTGGCTGAAAACAGCTTGACCATTGATGGTCATCTCATATCTAGTACCAAACTGTGGCTCCATGGTTGTGGGCAGGAGCCAGTGAAGCTGATTTACTACTGGATTCACGAGGTTCAAAGATGTGTGAAGATTCACTTCCATTATCCAATCATGTGAAAAGACACTTCTTTGTTGCTTATTTCATCTGCACCTGATTGGATAACTGAAGTAAATATTCACACAATGTATAGCGTTAACCTTCTCAAATTGGCCTCATTATCTTTAGCAGGGATATCAAACTATTGAGGTGTTCAAAATGTATGAGAAGAGAGTGGGTGGTTTGACCCACCGGCCTCTATCCATAACCAAAAATTGTGTGGACCAACTTGTTAAGGTCTCGATTTTGAGTTCTTATTGGTATGTATATTAATATTATTATTATGTAGATTTAAACATTAACTGGAATACATTTAGTTTGCTAAAGCACTGTGTGCCATAAACAAGTACTTTCATTTAGTCAAGTTCTGTTTTTACCATTTTTCATCCTTTTTTCCCTTCTCAGGCGCTGCTGATTTACTTCAGCCTCTTTCAGCTATTTCCTATCTACATACGCTTTCTTTGGTGCCAGGTAAACGTCATTGCTCTTGAGTTGATTTCTGATAGTAGCAATGGTGGACCATGCCTATTGGCACAACTGCTTGTAGTCTACACTAATGATGAGCTAAGGTTTGGGCCAGACTGGGTTTGACCTGAACCCGTAGATTCAGATTTCACATGATAGCTTTAAAACTTTCTACCCTGCAGTCAAATGTAACAAAGGGGTAGGGTTGCATGTATTGGATATAGTACAGAGGTACAACTAGAAGACAGTTGTCACCATATTATAGGGCGTGCCTTCGTTAAATTTGATGTTCAATCTTATGTTATGCCCTCCAGGTACATTAGATAGAGACTGGGTAGCAACCTGGGTTTGAGTCAGCCTGGGAGTGAAGTAGTGAGGTTACCTCAGGACAGGCTGGGAGGCTTTAACAGGTCAGGGCTTTTGGAGGAATTATGCCTTTCATTGGTGTCAGTGGATGAAAGGGTGTCCCAATGGCCAGATAAAAGCAAGCAAAGGGCCGAATGTGTCCCCCAGGCCACAGTTTGGAGAACACTGCTATAACAGATCAGGGCTTCTGGAAACCTCCCACCTTCCAGAAACTTGGAACCTGAAAGAGGAGATGAGGATGCCCAGATCTGCATGTTGGAGGGACCTTTTCCAATTCCCTGGCAGGAGGCTGGGCATGGTGACCAGGGCAACCCTCAAATGTGCAGAGCCTGGGGGGAAAGTTTGAAGTGTTGGGTGGAAGATGGATTGAGAAGGAGCTTGGAAGGGGGCCTCAGGGAGGGGAGCCCACCTGCAGGCAGGATTATGGAAGGGAGGATCTCCTCTGTCCCACCCATCTCTTTGGAAGGGCAGCCTGTAAAGTGGGGAAAGAACCAGCCATCAGAAGGCCTGAAGGTAGCCACCTAACCCACCAAGCAAGCAGGAAAGGACAGAGTGAGTACTCGTACACCCCCTGGGCCAGATCAGGGGAGAGGGCGGTCAGGTGCAATACCCAACTAGTCTTCATTTGGGTTTGCTTAACTGCAAACTCTTGGGACCCTTTCCTCAACGATACCCTCAGGCAGTTGGGTGAAGACGAGGATTCATCCAGGGTCTGAGGAGGTACACCAAAGAGCCTTTAATTCTCTTAAAGAAGAGACTGTTGCTATCTGCATTTTGACTGTTGCTATCGGCCTAGTTGCTAAGGAGTTGTCTTCAAGTTCTACAGTTCCTTGGGCATCCCATACACCTAGACCCCATCAAAGTTTTCTAACCCCTAATAAAAAAAACCATAAAACCAAGCTCGAGGACTGTTTACTGACTTCAGGTGTACAAATGTGGAAAATGTGTCTTGTATGGCAGAGCATAGGGGGACCCAAATCAAACTCAGTGGCCCTTATGAGGGTAGTGCTACACTTATATGAGATTATAGTGTGTAGGCTTAAATCTACTCTAATATACCAAGGCTGTACCAAATGTAATACACAAGGGAGCATCACTTTTTTTTATTAACTTACACTCGGTCGTTCAAATTTCACCTATTGGTAGAGTAACTCTTCCTCTATAGGGCTGGATCCAGGGGGGTGCTGGATATTTCAATGGCACCCCCCAGGACCAGTGACATTGGTATTAGGAATAGAGGGGGGGGTGACAGGCAGTGTGCAGGCTTGAAGGTGCCAAGTCAGCATGGCTACACAGTGTCCTACCCTTATCCATAGCACTGCAAAAAATTTTTCCATGGTGCAGGAGAGAGCAGACCTGGATGCACGGCATCATTTACTGCTATTTTTGAAAGGTGGACTCTGTTGTGAAGGGGGGGACACTCTGTTGTGATGGGGGGTACTGTTGTGTGATGGGATAATTCTGTTGTGATGGGAGGGACCTTAATGGGAAAGGGGGCTTCTGATGGGATGGGGACAACGCTGGTTTGAAGGAAATGATGCAATGGGGAACCATAATGTAAAAGGGTCTGACTCTGAAGTGATGGGTGTAATCTGATGTGAAGGGAGAACTCCCACACTAGGTGCCAAGGAGTGGGTGACGTCATCATCCAGTGCACCTGTCAGTGTCCTTCAGCCCAATAAATACAGTTCAGGACTGGGGTGTCTCAGGATTGCTTTTAAAGGGTGCCAGGACTAAAAAGATTGAGATATGCTGGCCTAATACATGTGTATTTTATTACAGCCATATAGCGATGGAGGGAAGTAAGAGAGATTAAAACAATAGTGTGCTGACATTATGCCCCCTGACTTTATTACTGCACCCCAGATCAGACAGGCTAGATCCGGCCCTGATCGTACGCTTCTTTTTCTTTTTCATTGCAGTTCCTAATAGATTCCAATCAGAAGCAATGTGCCATCATTGAATTCTTGAAGGAGGGGAGCAGGCTGTCCAACATCCACAGAAGGCTTCGGAATGTTTACGGTGACGACTCCATTGACAAGAGCAATGTGCACAGATGGATGAAGAAGAAAAGGAAACCAGCACTGAAAGTGGTTGTAAAGGCTGAAGGTTTTTTATCTTCATGTTTCCTATGCATGAAGGTAAAAAAAATCCTTCTGTGTGCAGCAGCTGCCCCAGCCCCCCCTAACACTTACCTGAGCCCCCTCTCGATCCAGCGATGTGCATGGGAGCACAGGCTGTCCCGGGTCTCTTCCTCCTCGATGGCTGAGACAGCGAAGTGAGCCAGTGGCTCCCTCTACTATCAGTCATAGCCAGTGAGTAAATAAGGAGAGATCAGGGAGGGGGGGGGGGGGGCTGAACCATGCCTGTGTTTGAATGGACATACAGAGCAGCCGCTTAAGAGGGAGCCTTCTTGGGTGCGCCCATAGCAAGCAACTTGCTCTGGATGGCACTTGGTAGAAAGGTGGGGCCAGGAGCTCTAGCGGAGGACTGGAGAAAAAGGAGGATTGGGGCTGCTCTGTGCAAAACCACTGCACAGAGCAGGCAAGTATGATGTATTTGTTATTATTTTGTAAAAAAAAATAATCTGCCTTTAATATAACTTGAAGACAAACCACTCCTTTTAAAGGAACCACCCTTCCTTCCTCAAGAACTCCATGAAGGAAAGTTGCTTCTGCTTGGAATCCATTATATATCTGCAATGAAAAAGAAGAAGACAAATTTCTATAGAGGAAGATTTGCTCTACCAACCTGGACAAAGAAGGGGGAAAGGTCCTCTACTGGGTGGGACTTTGAAGGCATAGATTTGTAAATAGACTACTAAATCAGCAGTTAAAAAGGTGCCTTCAAAGTCCCAACCAGTAGAGGACCTTTCCCCCTTCCTTGTCTATACTTGGGGAAGCACAGTGGCTAAATGGTTAGCACTTCTGCCTGGCAGTACTCGGGTTGTTGGTTTGAATCCCAGCCACGGCACCTCCTGCCTGGAGTTTGCCTGTTCTCCCTGTGCCTGCGTGGGTTTCCTCCAGGTACTCCAGTTTTCTTCCACACTCCAAAGACATGCTGGTAGGTTAATTGGATCCTGTCTAAATTGGCCCTAGTATGTGTATGTATGAATGTTAGGGACCTTAGATTGTATGCCCCTTGAGGGTTAGGGACCTTAGATTGTATGCCCCTTGAGGGTTAGGGACCTTAGATTGTACACCCCTTGAGGGTTAGGGACCTTAGATTGTACACCCCTTGAGGTTTAGAGACTGATGTGAATGTACAATATATATGTAAAGCGCTGCATAAAAATGGATGGCGCTATATAAGTACCTGAAATAAATAAATATACTTCTAGGGATGTTGGCACCCCTTGTATTGTATCCCCCCCCTCTCCGTCTCTACCAACATGTGAAATTTGAATGATTTATATGGGAATAAAAAAGTTATGCCCTCTCGTGCATTACTTTCAGAACAGACCTCGTATAATAGTAGAGTGACTGTATTTCAGTTTATTTGGGCCATGACAAATTGTTTACTACTACTTTTACTTTGAATATTCATTTTCAGTTTTCTTCTCCCGATCATCTTGCTTAGCGCAGTCTTGAACTCCTTGTTCCTCATTGTATAAATTAGCGGGTTCAGCGTTGGAGTGATTACAGCATAGACCACAGGGGTCAGCTTCTCTTGGTCGCTTACCTCTTCAGAACTATCCCTGTAATAGGCAAAAATGGAAGTGCCGTAAAACAAAGACACAACAATCAGGTGAGAGGCACATGTGGAAAAGGCTTTGTGTTGTCCTTCTTTAGACCTAATTTTCAGTATGGTGGAAATAATGTGGATGTAAGAAACCAAAGTCAGAACGAAAGACCCAAGTCCATAGGCTCCTCCAACAACAAAGAGGATTAGCTGAGTCGGTAGAGTGTCATCACAAGCCAGGTTCAACAGGGGTCGGATATCACAAAAAAATTGGCTGATGACATTAGAGGAACAGAAGGATTGTTGAAAGGTACGGGTGGTATGGATTGTCGAGTTGATGAACCCACTGATCCAGGAGCCGAAGGCTAAAACAACACAAGTAGGAGGATCCATGACAGTCACATAATGCAAGGGATCGCAGACGGCTACATACCGGTCATAGGCCATGACGGCAAGCATGGAGCACTCAATGCTGCCCAAAGCTATAAATAAATACATCTGAACAGCACAGCCTAGGAAGGAAATGGAATTGGTCTTTAAAAGAACATTAAGAAGCATTTTCGGAATGGTGACCGAGGTGTAAAATATCTCAAGGAAAGAGAGATTACTGAGGAGGAAGTACATGGGAGTGTGCAGGTCAAGACTGAACGACGTGGTAGCAATGATAAGTACATTTCCAGTTAGGGTTAGTGCATACAACACAAAGAAATATATAGAAGAGAGAGATCTGTACAGAGTAAAGATCTGGAAATCCAAGGAGGACAAACTCTGAAATTCTACTACTGTTCACCATACTCCTGGATGTCAGTCGATGGCTATTATAGGTTAGGACCGGCTAAGTAATATCCCTTTATACTACAGGAAAAAAACCACAAATAAAAAGGAATTAATCAATTTGTCACGTTTTTATTCTAAAATTAAGTTTTTCCATACAAATATGAGAATGGGACTAGTTTATTTTTTATTACAGAATAGGTCATTTTCATTTCAAGCTTGCTGGTCCTTTCACAGTCGGACCCGTTATTGCATTTTTTGGGTTTTTTTTTTATTTGCACGTGTTAAAAAAATCAATTTTAGGCCTAATGATGACTTAAAACACCAAACTATTATGGGCTGTTTCTGAATTCAGAGACCTTGAGAACAAAATAGTGGTAGTCCCACTTGATGGCCGAGCCGATGTGCGGTGTGGGCCCCCCACGGGTTGGGTGGTCCTGTTTTTGATTGCCACCTCAGCGTCCATCTCCATGGATTGACGCCTATGGGTTGGGACCGTTGAGGTGTGAACCCTCGCTTTTTTGTGTGTATGAAGTACCTTGGTGGTGTGACAAATTTTATTTATTTATTTTTTTCTTGTCTGTCTCATGGCATTTCCTCTTCTCCCCACCTGAACATTCTATATGGTTGAGACATATATGTGAATATATGTTCAAGTTTACGATTCTTCTAATTACAACTATGCTATGAACTTACAAGAATATATACAATACATATTATGAAGAAGCAGACTTTGGTTCTCATTTTGTGAAATTTGTATATTTATATTTAAGTTACTGTCTCTTTGTTCTCCCACATGAACCCTCATAAAATATATTATTTAAAATGATGTGGTTCTAACATCTAAAGCGGTTATTGTGAATTTGGAAAAAAATGTATAGTTTTTATTGGATTGTTTGTGTGGAAGTTACTGTTGGAGGTACCCTTCATTTTCTTGTAAGGTTTTTCAAATTTTTTATATCACACAATATTTGTGCAATGGTTTATCAAGTGAAAAGTATCAGGAAAAAATACACTAAACTTAATTTTAGGGCACACAAATGCAATATGTTACCAATTTTTCCAGGGAAATATGAAAGACATGGATGCCCCGTGTAAATAGATACCTAACATGTCAAGCTTTAAAATTGTGTGTGCCCATAAGATGATGACAAACTTGGGTACCTTATATTTTCCATAGGCAAAACTTTAAAAGCCCCTAAAGGTCATCACTTTAGAGTCAACCATGTATGATGGGCTTAGAAATAACATGTGTTGCACAAGCAGTGTTCTCATAGGTAGTTGTCCCGTTGGGGGGGTGTTTATGGTCCTATGTGCATGTACACTATATTGCCAAAAGTATTGGGACACCTCTCCAAATCATTGGATTCAGGTGTTCCATTCACCTCCATGGACACAGGTGTATAAAATCAAGCCCCTAGGTATGCAGACTTCTTCTACAAACCTTGGTGAAAGACTGGGTCGCTCTCAGGAGCTCAGTGACTCCAAGCTTGGTCCCGTGATAGGTGGCCACCTGTGCAATATGTCCATCCGTGACATTTCCTGGCTACTAAATATTCCACGCTCAACTGTTAGTGGGATTATAACAAAGTGGAAGCCACTGGGAACAACAGCAACTCAGCCACCAAGTGGTAGGCCACGTCACATGACAGGGCGGGGTCAGCGCATGCTGAAGCGCACAGTGCGCAAAAGTCACCAACTGTCTGCAGAGTCAATAGCTAAAGACCTCCAAATTTCGTGTGGCCTTCAGATGAGCACAACAACAGTGCGTAGAGAGCTTCATGGAATGGGTTTCCATGGCCAAGCAGCTGCATCCAAGCCTTACATCAAGTGCAATGCAAAGCGCTGGATGCCATGGTGTAAAACACGCCGCCACTGGACTCTACAGCAGGGAAGACGTGTTCTCTGGAGTGACCAATCACGCTTCTCCGTCTGGCAATCCAGTGGACGTGTCTGGGTTTGGCAGTTGCCAGGAGAACGGTACTTGCCTGACTGCATTGTGCCAAGTGTGAAGTTTGGTGGAGGGGGGATTATGGTGTGGGGTTGTTTTTCAGGGGTTGGGCTTGGCCCCTTAGTTCTTGTGAAGGGAACTCTTAAGGTGTCAGCACACCAAATATTTTGGACAATTTCATGCTCCCAACTTTGTGGGAACATTTTGGAGATGGCCCCTTTCTGTTCCAACATGACTGCCCACCAGTGCACAAAGCAAGGTCCATAAAGACATGGATGAGCCAGTTTGAGGTGGAGGAATTTGACTGGTCTGCACAGAGTCCTGACCTCAACCCGATAGAATATCTTTGGGTTGAATTAGAGTGGGGATTGCAAGTCAGACTTTCTCGTCTGACATCAGTGCCTGACCTCACAAATGCTCTTCTGGAAGAATGGTCCAACCTTCCCACAGACACCCTCCTAAACCTTGTGGACGGCCTTCCCAGAAGAGTTGAAGCTATTATCACTACAAAGAGTGGCCAACTCAATATTGAACCCTACAGACTAAGACTGGGATGTGATATAATGGCTTTGTGATGGGTTCTATTTAATAAGATATCAGGGGTATGCACTTTGTTTCTGGGTTCTTTGCAGCTAGGGGAGATTAGTGAATGGATGTTCACTGGTCTCCCTCCCATCCACAAAGGACATGGAGAGAACATTTTTCCCAACGCTTATAGTTAGCCTTTACTTACACTTTAAAGGATAAGTTCCCCTTTCTCAACATGTTGCATGTTCCACCCATGTTTAGAGTGCAACATGTAACATGTTGAGCATCTGCCTCCTCTCCACCTGATCCATTACCTCCTTGTGACAACAGGCCAGGGATCCTCTCCCCGCACCCGTTATTACAATTTGAAAATAGCGTTGTTTTTAGCGGATCGTAACCGTTGGCTGTTCACACCCGCTATTAACCCAATCCACAGCAATCTTTTATCAGTAACAAGTGCTGTAGGTGGGCTGAGGTGTGAAGATGCAGGAATGAAGGTGATCTGAGGAGTGAAGGTGCAGGAATGAAGGTGATCTGAGGTGTGAAGGTGCAAGATTTAGGGTGATCTGAAGTCTTGAGATACAGGAATTGGGGTGACCTGAGGTGTGAAAGTGCAGGAATTGGAGCTAATTTTGAAGTGTAAAGATGGAGTAATTGATGCTGATCTGAGGCCCGAAGAAATAGGAATTGGGGCTGTCTGGGATTTGAATGTGCAGGAATTGGAGCAATATGAGTTGTGAAGGTGCAGGAATTGGGGCTGAACTAGGACATGAAAGTGTAGAAACTGCAGCTGATCTGAGGCCTGGAGAAACATGAACTGGTCCTGATGTGGAGTGCAAAAGTGCAGGACTTGGGGTGATCGGATCTGTGTAGGTGCAGGAATTGGACTAATTCGAGGTGTAAAGGTGAAGGAATCGGGGCCTATTTGGGGTGTGAAGGTGAAGGTTTTGGGGTGATCTGAGGGGTGAAGGTGCAATAATTGGGTGATCTGGGGTGTAGAGGTTCAGCAATTGGTGTGATCTGAGGTGTGAAGGTGCAGGAATTGGAATGATTTGAGGTGTGAAGGTGCAGGAATTGAGCTAATTTGAGGTGTGAAGGACCAGGAATTGGGGCTGATCTGAGGAGCAAAAGGTGGCGGTATTGGGGTGATCTGAGGGGTGAAGGTGCAAGAATTGGGATGATTTGAGGTGTGAAGGTGCAGAAATTTAGCTAATTTGAGGTGCGAAGGTCCAGGAATTGGGGCTGATCTGAGGAGCAAAGGTGGAGGTATTGGGGTGATCTGAGGGGTGAAGGTGCAAGAATTGGGTGATCTGGGGTGTAGAGGTGCAGGAATTGGTGTGATCTGAGGTGCGAAGGTGCAGGAATTGGTGTGATCTGAGGTGTGGAGGTGCAGGAATTGGAATGATTTGAGGTGCAGGAATTGGGATGATTTGAAGTGCGGAGGTACAGGAATTGGGGGAGGTACAGGAATGATGGGATGATTTGAGGTGCAGGAATTGAGATGATTTGAGGTATGAAGGTGCAGGAATGAGGGCTGATTTAGGTTCTGAAGGTACAGAGATTGGGTTTGAACTTTATTAGGGTGACCTCTATGACCTCATACTTCATTTCCAACTGTACATTTCGCGGATGTCCTCGGTTGACATATTCATTTCAACCTTAGCATACTTGCCTCACAGCACATGTTCTGGAACAGGGGTAAGTTGTCATTTACCATCCTTCATGGCTTGATGTTTTCTTACAGTTATTCGAATAGTTTACAGCATTTACTGTATAAAAATTCCTTTTTGTGATTGAGTGTGTAAAGTTGACATTTTTTTATATAACTGGCACTCTCAATTTCTTCTAAAACTTTTTTTCGGCACACCATGCTCTAAAGTTTGTCTACCCCTGGCATATAGTTCTACAGTACAGTTGTGTGTCCAAAATTATTCAACCCCCAATGCTGTAAAGGGGTTTAGGGACTATAGTGTCATTTTGGAATTGTATTCAGAATCAAATCCTACAAGGACGTTGTAACTACCCAAATTGCAACTAAAATGACATCAATTGTTTATGTAATACAGTAGTAAATGGTTCTTATTGTGGTTTCTTCATTGCCACAATTATTCAACACCCCTTAAAGACTACCACTCTGAAGAACAAGAGGTTCATACAGGTGCTTTCCATCAGGTATTGAAAACACCTGTGGATGTCACCGAGCAGCAATCAAGCATAATAAGCACCAATTAGGCAGCTTTAAAATGACTGTGATACTCAGCTCCTTCTAGACATTTACTGGTGTGGTTACAAACATGGTGAAGGCAAGAGAATGGTCCAGGAAGACAAGAGAAGAGGTGATTTCTCTTCACAGGAAGGGCAATGGCTATAAGAAGATTGCAAAGATGTTAAACATACCAAGAGACACTTAGGAAGCATCATTCGCAAATTCAAGGCAAAGGGCACTGTTGA